GGTCAAAAGTAGTGCACTATATAGGGAATAGGGTGCCATTTGGGACATAGTCATGGAAGTCTCAGCCGACTTTAGGCTTCAGGCTTTTATTGATGAGGTCTCAGCTGGAGAGTCGGTTGGCAGGGCCTGTAGGCAAGTCTTTCTCACGACTACTGGGCTGTTGAAATGGAGTCAGATCACTGAAGGAAAACATCCTGCTCTCTAACTAGCCCTAGCCAACTCCAATTTCCTCACAGTTGATGTTGCTTTGAGTCACGTGATGAGGCCTGCCTCTCTCGCTCAGTTCAATTCAATTCAACTTAAGGGCTTTATTGGCATGGGAAACATATGTTAACATTGCCAAAGCATGTCAAATAGATAATAAACAAAAGTGAAATAAACAATACCAAAATTAACAGTAAACATTACACTCACAAAAGTTCCAAAAGAATAAAATACATTTCAAATGTCATTTATGTCTAAATACAGTGTTGCAACAATGTGCAAATAGTTAAAGTAGAAAAGGGAAAATAAATCAACATAAATATGGGTTGTATTTACAATGGTGTCTGTTCTTCACTGGTTGCCCTTTTCTTGTGGCAACAGGTCACAAATCTTGTTGCTGCGATGGCACACTGTTGTATTTCACCCAATAGTTATGGGAGTTTATCAAAATTGGGTTTGTTTTCAAATTCTTTGTGGGTCTGTGTAATCTGAGGGAAATATATGTCTCTAATATGGTCATACATTTGGCAGGAGGTTAGGAAGTGCAGCTCAGTTTCCACCTCATTTTGTGGGCAGTGTGCACATAGCCTGTCTTCTATTGAGAGCCAGGTCTGCCTATGGCGGCCTTTCTCAATAGCAAGGCTATGCTCACTGAGTCTGTACATAGTCAAAGCTTTCCTTAAGTTTGGGTCAGTCACAGTGGTCAGGTATTCTGCCACTGTATACTCTCTGTTTAGGGCCAAATAGCATTTTAGTTTGCTCTGTTTATTTGTTAATTCTTTCCAATGTGCCAAGTAATTGTCTGTTTGTTTTCTCATGATTTGGTTGGGTCTAATTGTGTTGCTGTCCTGGGGCTCTGTGAACAGAGCCCCACGACAAGCATGCTTAGGGGACTTTTCTCCAGGTTCATCTCTCTATAGGTGATGTCTTTGTTATGGAAGGTTTGGTGGTTTTCGGTGGTTGTAGAATTGAACAGCTCTTTTCTGGATTTTGATAATTAGCGGGAATCTGCCTAATTCTGCTCTGCATGCATTATTTGGTGTTTTACGTTGTACACAGGATATTTTTGCAGAATTCTGCATGCAGAGTCTCAATTTGGTGTTTGTCCAATTTTGTGAATTCTTGGTTGGTGAGCGGACCCCACAACCATAAAGGGCAATGGGTTCTATAACTGATTCAAGTATTTTTTAGCCAGCTCCTAATTGGTATGTCGAATTTTATGTTCCTTTTGATAGCATAGAAGGCCCTTCTTGCCTTGTCTCTCAGATCGTTCACAGCTTTGTGGAAGTTACCTGTGGCGCTGATGTGTAGGCAGAGGTATGTATAGTTTTTTGTGTGCTCTAGGGCAACGGTGTCTAGATGGAATTTGTTTTGTGGTCCTGGCAACTGGACCTTTTTTGGAACACCATTACTTTTGTCTTACTGAGATTTACTGTCAGGGCCCATGTCTGACAGAATCTGTGCAGAAGATATAGGTGCTGCTGTAGGCCCTCCTTGGTTGGTGACAGAAGCACCAGATCATCAGCAAACAGTAGACATTTGACTTCAGATTCTAGTAGGGTGAGGCCGGGTACTGCAGACTGTTCTAGTGCCCTCGCCAATTCGTTGATATATATGTTGAAGAGGGTGGGGCTTAAACTGCAACCCTGCGGCCCTGTGGAAAGAAATGTGTGTGTTCTTTGCCAATTTTAACCGCACACTTGTTGTTTGTGTATATGGATTTTATAATGTCGTATGTTTTTCCCCCAACACCACTTTCCATCAATTTGTATAGCAGACCCTCATTCCAAATTGAGTCAAAAGCTTTTTTGAAATCAACAAAGCATGAGAAGACTTTGCCTTTGTTTTGTTTTGTTTGTTTGTCAATTAAGGTGTGTAGGGTGAATACGTGGTCTGTCGTACAGTAGTTTGGTAAAAAGCCAATTTGACATTTGCTCAGTACATTGTTTTCACTGAGGAAATGAACTAGTCTGCTGTTAATGATAATGCAGAGGATTTTCCCAAGGTTACTGTTGATGCATACGTATCCCACGGTAGTTATTGGGGTCAAATTTGTCTACACTTTTGTGGATTGGGGTGACCAGTCCTTGTTTCCAAATATTGGGGAAGATGCCAGAGCTAAGGATGATGTTAAAGAGTTTAAGAATTGCCAATTGGAATTTGTGGTCTGTATATTTTATCATTTCTGTCACGATCGTCGACAGATGAAGCGGACCAAGGCGCAGCGTGATAAGCGTACATTCTTTATTTGTACTTAACACACGAACCAAAACAATAAACAAAACGATACGTGAAGCCCTAGGTTATACACAAAACCCTACGGAACAAGATCCCACAAAATAGGAAAAAAAAGCAGGAACAGACCGGGCTGACGACGCGCACCACAGGCTTGGTGCGAGGGACAGGAACAGGCCGGACCGGGCTGGCGACGCGCACCACAGGCTTGGTGCGAGGGACAGGAACAGGCCGGACCGGGCTGGCGACGCGCACCACAGGCTTGGTGGGGGGAGCAGGAACAGGCCGGACCGGGCTGGCGACGCGCATCACAGGCTTGGTGCGAGGGACAGGAACAGGCCGGACCGGGCTGGCGACGCGCACCACAGGCTTGGTGCGGGGAGCAGGAACAGGCCGGACCGGGCTGGCGACGCGCACCACAGGCTTGGTGGGGGGAGCAGGAACAGGCCGGACCGGGCTGACGACGCGCACCACAGGCTTGGTGCGAGGGACAGGAACAGGCCGGGCTGGACTGTGGAGACGGACTGGAGGTCTGGAGCGGAGAGCTGACACAACCCGTCCTGGCTGAATGCCTATTTCCACACAATTTGTGTGAGGCATCAGCACAGGACGTACAGGGCTGTGCACTCGTACTGGCACTACAGCACGTGGCACTGGCGCAGGATATCCGGGACCGAGGCGGTGTACTGGAGGCCACGAGCGTTGAGCCGGCACACTCTGTCCTGGCTGCATGCCCACCTTAGCACGACACGTGCGTGGTGCTAGCACAGGACGTACAGGACTGTGCCGGAACACTAGCGGCACAGTACGTGGCTCCGCATAACACGGAACCTGCCCAGTCTCACGCTGCCTAGCCTGAGTACGGGGAGTTGGCTCTGCTCTACCTCCAGGCTCCGCCAACCACCCTTCCAGCCCCCCAAACCTGGTGGCCTCCTCTCCTAGTCCGCCGATTCGTCCTGTAGCTGACTCCAGCAGCCCCGTCGTCTACGGCGTGTGCCCCCCCAAAAAATGTCTTGGGGTTGCCTCTCGCGTGTCCGTCGTCGGCACGGTTGGCGCCGTTTCTCCTCTCCTGCCTGGGCATTTACTTTTGCCCATGGCCCTATGCCCGCGAATATGTCCTCCCAAGACCACCATTCGCCCACCTGGGACATCGCCAACTTCTCCTCCTGGGCACGCTGCTTGGTCCTCTGGTGGTGGGATCTTCTGTCACGATCGTCGACAGATGAAGCGGACCAAGGCGCAGCGTGATAAGCGTACATTCTTTATTTGTACTTAACACACACGAACCAAAACAATAAACCAAACGATACGTGAAGTCCTAGGTTATACACAAAACCCTACGGAACAAGATCCCACAAAATACTAGTGCCAAACAGGCTGCCTAAGTATGGTCCCCAATCAGAGACAACGAGCTACAGCTGTCTCTGATTGGGAACCACCCTGGCCAACATAGATATAAACGATCTAGAACAAAAGCATCGAAAATGTAACAGAAACTCCACACCCTGGCTCAATATTTAAGAGTCCCCCGAGCCAGGGCGTGACAATTTTCATTTCAACCCCACAGGCCTTTTTGGGTTGGAGGGTTTGTATTTTGTCCTGTAGTTCATTCAATGTAATTGGAGAATCCAGTGGGTTCTGGTAGTCTTTAATAGTTGATTCTAAGATTTGCATTTGATCATGTATATTTTTTTGCTGTTTGTTCTTTGTTATAGGGCCAAAAAGATTGGAGAAGTGGTTTACCCAAACATCTCAGTTTTGGATAGATAGCTCTTCGTGTTGTTGTTTGTTTAGGTTTTTCCAATTGTGGTTAGAGTCTATGGATTCTTCAGTTACATTGAGCTGATTTCTGACATGCTGTTCCTTCTTTTTCCATAGTGTATTTCTGTATTGTTTTAGTGATTCACCATTCACCATAGGCTCAGGTTTTCTGGGTCTCTATGTTTTTGGTTGGATAGGTTTCTCAATTTCTTTCTTAGGTTTTTGCATTCTTCGTCAAACCATTTGTCATTGTTGTTACTTTTCTTTGGTTTTCTGTTAAAGATTTTTAGATTTGATAGGGAAGCTGAGAGGTCAAATATACGGTTTAGGTTTTCTACTGCCATGTTTCCACCTTCACTATTACAGTGGAACGTTTTGTCCAGGAAGTTGTCAAAAAGGGATTGAATTTGTTGTTGCGTAGTTGTTTTTTGGTAGGTTGACACTACTTTCCTTCCATCTATCGCATTTCTTAATATTATTCAGTTCCTTTGGCTTTGATGCCTCATGATTGAGTATTGCTCTGTTCAAGTAGCCTGTGATTTTGCTGTGGTCTGATAGGGGTGTCAGTGGGCTGACTGTGAACACTCTGAGAGACTCTGGGTTGAGGTCGGTGATAAAGTAGTCTATAGTACTACTGCCAAGAGATGAGATGAGCTATAGGTGTACCTACCATAGGAGTCCCCTCCAAGCCTACCATTGACCATGTACATACCCAGCGTGCGACAGAGCTACGTAGTTGTGTCTCGGGGAGCATATGGGGGAGGGAATCTCTCTCTCTCTCTCTCTCTCTCTCTCTCACCTGTTGTCTGTATCTGTAGGATCCTGTCGTAGACTCCGTCTGACAGCTCAATCACTGCTCTGCTCGCCTGGATCATCTGTAGACAGTGTACACAAGATCAGTCTCGAAAACAATCACTTTTAAATTAAATCAGTAATCAATTTAAAACCTGTCATCACACATCTTACTGTCATCACACATCCCTCCGTCATCACACATCTCACCGTCATCACACATCTTACATAAAAACATCACTGTAACATAACCCCAGACGACCCCACAACTATCTGACCAATGGATTGTTTAATTAAAACCACAGCTATCTGACCAGTGGATTGTTTAATTTAAACCACAGCTACAGTGTGGAGAACAAATATTTGATACACTGCCGATTTTGCAGGTTTTCCTACTTACAAAGCATGTAGAGGTCTGTAATTTTTTTCATAGGTACACTTCAACTGTAAGAGACGGTTGAAATCCAGAAAATCACATTGTATGATTTTTAAGTAATTAATTTGCATTTTATTGCATGACATAAGTATTTGATACATCAGAAAAGCAGAACTTAATATTTGGTACAGAAACCTTTGTTTGCAATTACAGAGATCATACGTTTCCTGTAGGTCTTGACCAGGTTTGCACACACTGCAGCAGGGATTTTGGCCCACTCCTCCATACAGACCTTCTCCAGATCCTTCAGGTTTCGGGGCTGTCGCTGGGCAATACAGACTTTCAGCTCCCTCCAAAGATATTCTATTGGATTCAGGTCTGGAGACTGGCTAGGCCACTCCAGGACCTTGAGATGCTTCTTACAGAGCCACTCCTTTGTTGCCCTGGCTGTGTGTTTCGGGTCGTTGTCATGCTGGAAGACCCAGCCACGACCCATCTTCAATGCTCTTACTGAGGGAAGGAGGTTGTTGGCCAAGATCTCGCGATACATGGCCCCATCCATCCTCCCCTCAATACGGTGCAGTTGTCCTGTTCCCTTTGCAGAAAAGCATCCCCAAAGAATTATGTTTCCACCTCCATGCTTCACGGTTGGGATGGTGTTCTTGGGGTTGTACTCATCCTTCTTCTTCCTCCAAACACGGCGAGTGGAGTTTAGACCAAAAAGCTATATTTTTGTCTCATCAGACCACATGACCTTCTCCCATTCCTCCTCTGGATCATCCAGATGGTCATTGGCAAAATTCAGACGGGCCTGGACATGCGCTGGCTTGAGCAGGGGGACCTTGCGTGCGCTGCAGGATTTTAATCCATGACGGCGTAGTGTGTTACTAATGGTTTTCTTTGAGACTGTGGTCCCAGCTCTCTTCAGGTCATTGACCAGGTCCTGTCCTGTAGTTCTGGGCTGATCCCTCACCTTCCTCATGATCATTGATGCCCCACAAGGTGAGAACTTGCATGGAACCCCAGACCGAGGGTGATTGACCGTCATCTTGAACTTCTTCCATTTTCTAATAATTGCGCCAACAGTTGTTGCCTTCTCACCAAGCTGCTTGCCTATTGTCCTGTAGCCCATCCCAGCCTTGTGCAGGTCTACAATGTTATCCCTGATGTCCTTACACAGCTCTCTGGTCTTGGCCATTGTGGAGAGGTTGGAGTCTGTTTGATTGAGTGTGTGGACAGGTGTCTTTTATACAGGTAACGAGTTCAAACAGGTGCAGTTAATACAGGTAATGAGTGGAGAACAGGAGGGCTTCTTAAAGAAAAACTAACAGGTCTGTGAGAGCCGGAATTCTTACTGGTTGGTAGGTGATCAAATACTTATGTCATGCAATAAAATGCAAATTAATTACTTAAAAATCATACAATGTGATTTTCTGGATTTTTGTTTTAGATTCCGTCTCTCACAGTTGAAGTATACCTATGATAAAAATGACAGACCTCTACATGCTTTGTAAGTAGGAAAACCTGCAAAATCGGCAGTGTATCAAATACTTGTTCTCCCCACTGTATCTGACCAGTGGACTGTTTAATTAAAACGACAGCTATCTGACCAGTGGATTGTTTAATTTAAACCAAAGCTATCTGACCAGTGGATTGTTTAATTTAAACCACAGCTATCTGACCAGTGGATTGTTTCATTTAAACCACAGCTATCTGACTGGTGGATTGTTTAATCTAACCTGCACAACTATTCTCAACCGAAACCCAAAGCGCTACATACTGTAAATAAAATGTAAAGGATTGATTAATTGATTGATCCTCACCGTTTCGAAGGTGGAGACTACCCTGCGTAGGACGTCCGGCAGGGGCCCCTGGGGCTCCATGGAAGGGTACTGCTCCCTCAGCTCAAACAGCATCAGGGGGTCCCCGTCGGCCCCCACCACACGGGACCCCAGGGCCAATACACACTGCATGAGGTTAGCCACCGCTGACACCCCACACAACTCCCTGAACACTGCCACCGAGTTCTACAGGGACAGAGAGAGATACAGAGGGTCGGGGGGGGGGGGGGGGTTATGCAACACACACACACATCTATATAAAAACACACAGTATTGTACAGCTAACCTTGTGGGGGGACACAATTCAGTCCCATTCAAAATCCTATTTTCCCTATCCCCTGACCCTAAACCTTACCCTAACCCTAACCCATACTCTTACCCTAACCCAAAAACCTAACCCTAGCTCCTAACCCTAACACTAACCCTAGCTCCTAACCCTATCCCTAACTCCTAACCCTAACCGTTAACGTAATTCTAACCCTAACACTAATTCTAACCTTAACCCTAAACCCCCTAGAAATAGCGTTTGACCTCATGGGGACTAACAAAATGTGCCACTAGAGATCCTGGTTCGTATCCAGGCCATGTCGAAGCCGGCCGCGACCAGGAGAACCATGGGGGCGGCGCACAATTGGCCCAGCGTCGTCCAGGGTAGGGGAGGGAATGGCCGGCAGGGATGTAGCTCAGTTGGTAGAGCATGGCGTTTGCAACGCCAGGGTTGTGGGTTCGATTCCCACGGGGGGCCAGTATAAAAAAATAATGTATGCACTCACTAACTGTAAGTCGCTCTGGTAAAGAGCGTCTGCTAAATGACTAAAATGTAAATGTAATCCCCTACTAAGTGATTAGTTGCTGAGGGTTTAATCGTGGATCAAACTGTGACATGGTTTCCTGGGATACCATCACTGAGAACATCTGATTGAATTAGAGAAGCTTTATTGGGAGATGGTGAAAGTGACAATCACAAATTGACCGTATCACTGCCACACTATTAAATTAATGTTTATTGCGGTCATTGAACTGCTAAAATCTAAATGTAAACAGTTTTATTTAAGAACACAGGTTAGCGTTTTTCATCATGAATGTTGTTCTGGGGGCAGCTCTGCAGAGTGGTCACTAGATTTTAAACATAGCCCTAACCTTAACACTAACCTTAACCACACTGCTAACCCTAATGCCAAACCCTAACATTAAATTAAGACCAAAAAATCACATTAATTTTTACAATTTCGCTAATTTTGACTTAGCTGCTGGCCCATCTAGCGGAAATCACTCAGCTTTGCCCCCAGGGCAGGATTTATGACAATAAACGTCAACCTGCTTTAACAACTGACACTGACAGAGAAGCTGTTCTAATCTCTTCATGATGTCATAGTGCTTGCCTTCAGTGTTTACTTCTGTTTAGGTGTGTGTGTGTTTGAGAGAGAGTGTGTGTGTGTTCCCTGTCTCTTTGTATTAGTGTCATAGCATGAATCCCAGTCATCTCCAGCCTAAACAGATCAGAGGTCCTCAACATCACTTAGACAGCCAGACTAAATGCTTACAGGGACAATCACCTTACCATCAGTTTACCATAACCATAACCTGTCAGTCTAAAGCAGAACTTCATAGATCAGGCTAACTAGCCAGTTTAGATGCAGTAAACAATCTCTCACTGGTTCTGTGTTGTCCACCGCCACTCAGTCTGAACCTGTTGATGTCTCTGGAGGAATGACCATGTCAGCCATCTTTATCTCGGAGTCATAACTTAGTGATCACTGAGATTGAACCCTCCATGGGTTGGGTTAATCTACCATAAATTGACATGGCTATTCTGAGTTAGACATCATCCATTGTGAATATAGGTATACAGGCATTTCAGTCCTTCAATGTGAAAATTGTGATTGATAAATGACTGTTTATCCTCTCCTTCTCACCTGCATGTTCTCCCGCAGGTCCGTGGCCTCCTTTAGTGGCGGGGTGGCCATTTTGAAAACCTCGTCCACGGCTTTGATCCCCAGGTCCCGGAGTGCAGCGTACTCCCTCCCTCGCTTCGCCTTCCGCACAGACAGCCCACGCTTGTGGGACTTGCCCCCTCCTCTCCGGTTGGTGAGGGCCACATGGACGAACAGCCGGGCGTACGGGAGATCCTCTCCCGTCAGAGACTGTAACGGTACGTGCCGGTAGCCTGGCTGTAGGCACTCCAGTGGAATGGTGTACTGACCTGTGGTAAAACAGAGGGGATTACAAATGATGTACAGGAGTGTTAGACAATGAAATTACCTTGAGAAGATAGTGAATGTTCACTCACTAACTGCTACCAAGTGTTCTTTATCTTAGCTAGTGGTACTTGCTAGTAAGCTAGCAATAACCTTCATATGGCTGAAAGGTTGTTGTAGTATCATTAGTTGGCTTCAGACAACAAGTTCAACCAAAAGCAGACTGGACACCGGACTAGCAGTCAGTGCAGAGCTGACCTTCACCCTCCTTCCACTACTGACCTATGAACTCGTCCCCTATGAATTCATCGTCCAGCACCACGAAGCGCACCATGGCCAGCTCGGGCAGGTTGATCTGGAACTCAAAGCTCTCGTCAAAGATGGGGTTGTCTCCGTTCTGCATCACTGTGCGGGTGCGGCGCTCGGCGCAGTCGGCAGGGATACCATGGATCTCCACGTAGACATACGGGTCCACCACGTCTCCTTTAGCTCCAGAACCCCTCGGACGGGGAAGGTTCTGACCACTGATCACCTGCATGGATGGATCCATTTATTGATTGATTGATTGTCTGTTTGTTTGATTGAAATGTTCACACACCTTATTTTAATGCAAGTGTACTGAATAACTGAAACAATACCATTCAACCACTAAGATAAGTGTACTGAATAACTGAAACAATACCATTCAACCACTAAGATAAGTGTACTGAATAACTGAAACAATACCATTCAACCACTAAGATAAGTGTACTGAATAACTGAAACAATACCATTCAACCACTAAGATAAGTGTACTGAATAACTGAAACAATACCATTCAACCATTAAAGTAAGTGTACTGAATAACTGAAACAATACCATTCAACCATTAAAGTAAGTGTACTGAATAACTGAAACAATACCATTCAACCATTAAAGTAAGTGTACTGAATAACTGAAACAATACCATTCAACCACTAAGATAAGTGTACTGAATAACTGAAACAATACCATTCAACCATTAAAGTAAGTGTACTGAATAACTGAAACAATACCATTCAACCATTAAAGTAAGTGTACTGAATAACTGAAACAATACCATTCAACCATTAAAGTAAGTGTATTGAATAACTGAAACAATACCATTCAACCATTAAAGTAAGTGACTGAATAACTGAAACAATACCATTCAACCATTAAAGTAAGTGTACTGAATAACTGAAACAATACCATTCAACCATTAAAGTAAGTGTATTGAATAACTGAAACAATACCATTCAACCATTAAAGTAAGTGACTGAATAACTGAAACAATACCATTCAACCATTAAAGTAAGTGTATTGAATAACTGAAACAATACCATTCAACCATTAAAGTAAGTGTACTGAATAACTGAAACAATACCATTCAACCATTAAAGTAAGTGTATTGAATAACTGAAACAATACCATTCAACCATTAAAGTAAGTGTACTGAATAACTGAAACAATACCATTCAACCATTAAAGTAAGTGTATTGAATAACTGAAACAATACCATTCAACCATTAAGATAAGTGTATTGAATAACTGAAACAATACCATTCAACCACTAAGATAAGTGTACTGAATAACTGAAACAATACCATTCAACCATTAAAGTAAGTGTACTGAATAACTGAAACAATACCATTCAACCATTAAAGTAAGTGTATTGAATAACTGAAACAATACCATTCAACCATTAAGATAAGTGTATTGAATAACTGAAACAATACCATTCAACCACTAAGATAAGTGTATTGAATAACTGAAACAATACCATTCAACCATTAAAGTAAGTGTACTGAATAACTGAAACAATACCATTCAACCATTAAAGTAAGTGTATTGAATAACTGAAACAATACCATTCAACCATTAAGATAAGTGTATTGAATAACTGAAACAATACCATTCAACCACTAAGATAAGTGTACTGAATAACTGAAACAATACCATTCAACCATTAAAGTAAATGTATTGAATAACTGAAACAATACCATTCAACCACTAAGATAAGTGTACTGAATAACTGAAACAATACCATTCAACCATTAAAGTAAATGTATTGAATAACTGAAACAATACCATTCAACCACTAAGATAAGTGTACTGAATAACTGAAACAATACCATTCAACCACTAAGATAAGTGTACTGAATAACTGAAACAATACCATTCAACCACTAAGATAAGTGTACTGAATAACTGAAACAATACCATTTAACAATTGAGAAGTGTACTGAATAACTGAAACAATACCATTTAACAATTGAGAAGTGTACTGAATAACTGAAACAATACCATTCAACCATTAAGAGAAGTGTACTGAATAACTTAACCAATACCATTAAGAGAAGTGTACTGAATAACTTAACCAATACCATTAAGAGAAGTGTAATGACTAACTTAAACAATACCATTCAACCATTAAGGAGCCAACAAGCCAGGAAGTGATTAGGAGCCTCTATTACACAGATATAAATAAACACCACTGTTGTCTATCTACTACCCACTCACCTTAACATGGAGCAGCTGAGGGGACACACCCGGCACAGAGTCTCTCGTATCGGCGCTGAAATACGACACTTCCTGTCGCATGATGGCGGGTCGCAGCACGTACCCACTATTCCCGTTCTGGCGGAACCAGGCGATGTTAAGGTCCATCATCAATCCAGGCGTCTGGTAGTTCAAAGCCACAATCTGGCAACCGCACTTCCACAGGTCCTGTGGGTTCATGTTGCTGGAGTCGATGCGCATGGCGCTGGGGTAGACCCGCGACAGGAAGCGCTTGTTGTAGTTGACAAAGTCTCCCGGCCGCTCGCTGGCGCAGCGCACAGCCAGGGTCTCGTTGAACGAGCAGAGCTCCCAGGGTTTCTGGGTAGAGAACGACGTCTGGAAGTCTGTGAAGCGTACCGACTTGCACAGAGTCACCAAGTCAGAGAGCTCCTTTAGGAGCTGGAACCGTTTAGGGGTAGGAGGAGGGGTCAGAGTTTTCATGCTACTAGTACCACCACCCCCACCACCTTTCTGCCCTTCCTCCCCCCCTCCTTCTCCTCCTCCTCCACTGTTACCAGCCTTCATTCTCTGGCACATCTCCGCCCCCTCATCTTCGTCAGACACGTCCCCCTCCGTCCCCCCGCACCCCTCCTCCAACTTCTGCCCCTTCAGCAGGATCTTGCCCCTCAGGGCATGGGGCGAGGGCAGGTACCCCTCCCCTTCCCTGAGGGGCTCTGTGTACAACCTCTCCCCCAGTATCCTCCTCAGGTGCTGGAGCATGACACTCTGCTGGCAGGGGGAGCAGTGGTTCTCCACGCACAGGATCAGTGGATACTCCGAAGCCTCAAACGCAAAACGCCCGATCACATCCAGGACACAGTGGAACACGACGGGCGAGGTGAGGGTGTGACCGGTATAAACCACGGGTTCATCGTCAGGGCCATCCCAGACGTCCACCTCCACACATCTGCAGCCCATCTTTAAAGCTCGGATGTAGCCGGTGATGCCAGTGGGCCCCTTGAACTGGTCCTCGATGAGGTAGGTGTTGTGGGAGGAGTTGATGTAGTAGTGGGATAAGGGCTGGCTCATGTCCTGGCACACCTGGCTGTGCTCCGGTTCAAACAGGTGGCACTCCAGGGAGGTGAGATATCTGGTGAAACCGTCCAATGAGAGGCAGCCTTGGCGACGGCCCTCCTCCGACGGCTCGTGGGATTGGATGAGCTCCAGACTGGTGTCTTCTGTCACCTAGACACAGAGGGGAGAGGAGAACAGAGAAATGAGCATCTCTTGAAGTGACATCGTTCTATGTATTTCTAATCGATCAAATAAAACCCGACCAAACAACTGTCTATTGGAGGGACACTTTATTTCTTATCAGCTAGACAGAGCTAAGAGGGACTATAGAGGAGGAAAAGAGAGAGAGACAAAGGGAGAGAAAACCCATTAAACAGTTCTACTGGTAGAACAGAAAACCCATGAAACAGCTCTACTGGTAGAACAGAAAACCCATGAAACAGCTCTACTGGTAGAACAGAAAACCCATGAAACCAGCTCTACTGGTAGAACAGAAAACCCATGAAACAATTATACTGGTAGAACAGAAAACCCATGAAACAGCTCTACTGGTAGAACAGAAAACCCATGAAACAGCTCTACTGGTAGAACAGAAAACCCATGAAACAATTATACTGGTAGAACAGAAAACCCATGAAACAGTTATACTGGTAGAACAGAAAACCCATTAAACAGTTCTACTGGTAGAACAGAAAACCCATGAAACAGTTCTACTGGTAGAACAGAAAAGTGGTCATCTTCCCAATCCTTACCTGAGCCACGCCCTGCTCAACCTCCAGGAACCTCATCAGATCCTTGGTATCCAGGAACTCCTTGTTGCTAGAGAACTGCACCAGAAGGAAGTAGATCTCCGGTCGGGTGCAAAGGTCGTGGAAGACCTCAATGAACTCCTCCTTGGTGACCCTGTCCTGTATTCCTCCTCTTCTGTTGTCTGTGTTTGCTCCAGTCCCAGCTCCAGACTCTTCCCCATTCCTTTCCTCAGCTCCGGCCCCAGCTGGAACCCTGTCCCCGTCCTCATCGCCAGCTCCTGAGCCAATCCCAGCAACAGCTACAATTGAAGCGCCAACCTTTGCTTCAGCTCCAGCCACAGTCCCAACATCAGTTCCAACTGCAGTTGTCCCCGCCCCATTCGTCCTCTCCTTGAGCCGATGGAGCTCCTTAAACCTGTGTTCCACTTTCCCACTCCTCACCCCAGGGTTAACACTCCTGATCAGTCCTACAGCCGATCGCAAACTGATCCCCTCCTCCTCTCCTCCACCCTGTCCATCTGACACCACCATAGAGGAGAATGTCTCTGCTAGCCAGGCGAGACGAAGGCTGTCCTCACTGCTGGCCATCATGTCCATGGCATGCTTCCCATACAGAATCAGATACCTAGGATGAGACAGAGAAGGATTGCACAGAGATTATGTCATAATTGAAAGATACCAGGGTAGGAAACACAATGAGAGTCATCTGTTCCAGTTGTTTTCATTCACTTCCATTTGGGTTCCAGTCCAGATCTTGACATCCTTTTGGTATGACACCACTGGGCCATGGAGAGTTGTCTAAACTAAAGCACAACCAGATCTGGTAACCCGGCAAGATATTGTGGACATGTATCCAACTTCCAGATCTGGCAACCCGGTAAGATATTGTTGACATGTTTCCTAAATCCATATCTGGCAACCCCGGCAAGACATTGTGGACATGTATCCTACCTCAGGCCAGTGACCCAGACGTTGGCCACCTCTGCAGAGTAAGCCACCAGGTCCAGAGCTTCATAGGTCTCTCCGTAGATGACAGAGAAGGCACAGTCCTCAGAGATCTGGTCATAGACGCCGTTGGTCCTAAAGGTCTCTGTGTTGCGGCCGGTGCGGACCTAGAATGACACAAAGAAGGATCCAATCAATTGAGACCAGGAAGTACAGAACAGTACACATGGGAGTCAACTGTTCCTATTGTTTCACTCAGTTCCATTCACTGACTGAAAGTTATTTGGCTCCAAGACAGCGCTGAAGAATAGTCAATTCCTGATGAGTGCAAACTCCATTTAAATGTATTGCAGATCATCTAATTAAATTGCTCTGTTTTTTTGCAGGAAACCAGACGTCATTGCATTTATCAGGAGTTAAGTCTATAAAAGGTTCATAACATCCCATCTCCACTTTGTTCTCCTTGTAGGTGTGTACCTACCTCCCTGATGGAGGGGAGGGCGATGCGTGCGTAGCTACCTACCTCTCTGATGGAGGGGACGGCAATACAGGCCTTGTCTGACTCCTTCTTGGAGGGCTCCCATCGCAGGGCCTGCAGACCTGACTCCAGCAAGTAGTAGCGTTGGTAGACCCGGGAGTTGGAGCGCACCTTCCGAAACTCAGTACCCTCCATCTGGAGACAGACAGCAATCAATCATGCACACACCTTGATCCTATTCACTAGTAAGAAAATGGGCCGAAAACGGGGAGGGACTACCTGCACTTGGCCAATAAGAAACTATTGTTTTTCGTTTTGCTACGGTGTGCACTAACAAATACACCCCAGTTATATTTCAGTCACTTATATAAAAACAAACCAACAAACACTGCCACTTCAGAAATGTATAACTAGAGTGTAACTAGTGTAGTAACTAGTGTAGTAACTAGTGTAGTAACTAGTGTAGTAACTAGTGTGTGTAACGGGTGATGTTCCCCACCATAGCGCTGATGCAGTCTGCAGCGCTGCTGATCTTCCTCTCAGAGAGACTGCTGCTGAAGGAGACTGTCTTCTTCCTCTCACGACCAGCACGAGACCCATCCTACAGAGAAAAGGAGGGAGGGACGGAGGGAGGGGTGGAGGGAGATAGAGAGAGGGAGGGGGAGAGGATGTGTGGGGAATCGATAAGAGGAAATTGGGAAAGTGGAGAGATAGAGAGAGTGGAGCAGAGGGCGAGGGAGAGAGATATATTTATTAATACAGATTAACCTACACTCCAACCTAGCACAGCACAGGCTCACTTCACTTAGTTGTCATTGGTGTTCTTTCTGATATCATGTGTCAGAGTGCCTTTCACCTTCACCAATAACCCATTAATCAAACACTGATGGGTTTTGAAAATTCTAATTCTGTTCCCCCTTGATGACTTTGGCCTCCGAATCATCTGAGTTCTATCACTGTTCCGTTCTATCGACCAATCAAAAGGGCAGGTTGAGAGACAGAGCGAGAGAGATATTAAAGGGAAGGATGAGAACATTGGTTGGGGGTGGGTTTATTCAATTACGGATATATCTAGCTCTAGATTGAAAAAAAACTGTCAAAGGCAATCTGTGGCAGCATCGGCGCTGGAGTCTGACAGAATGATGGAGAACCAGGGAAGAACAGAGGGGTCACTGTCACGTTCTGTAATCCAATCACGTTAACACACATTAAAAAGGTGCCTCTGACACTGCCAATGAAGACCTTGGCGATCTTATCATTCAGCCTAGCCGATACACAAGAATAGGTTTAACACTGGAAAACATTCAACTTAAATCTGAGTAATGTAGAATCAACTTAGAATCAATGTAGAACCAATGTAGAATCAAAACCCACACAAACACCCATAGAGAATTGCACCAAACAAATAGGTGGGCCCCATGTAGCTCAGTTGGTAGAGCATGGCGCTTGCAACGCCAGGGTTGTGGGTTCGATTCCCACGGGGGGCCAGTATGAAAAGAAAATGTATGCACTCACTAACTGTAAGTCGCTCTGGATAAGAGCGTCTGCTAAATGACTAAAATGTTAAATGTGTAGGACCTGTGCAATCATCACTGTATGTAATTCTATGGGCCCTTCTATCTCCTTCATCTGCGTCAACCTTTAGATAAAAGGACATGCTAAATTACTATGTCATATCGTTAAGGTTGACTGCGGGGGGGGAGAGGGGGGAGAGGGAGGGAGGGAGAGGGAGGGGAGGAGGGGGGGGAGAGGGAGGGGGAGGAGGGGGGGGAGAGGGGGGGAGAGGGAGGGGGGAGAGAGAGGGGGGGGGGGGGTATGTACACATGAGTGTGATCACACAGAGAGGGGAAAAATGAGTTTGGAGAACGCCGAAGGGCAGCAGTGTTTTATCTGAGGAGTATGAATGAACGTGTGAACGTGTGCCAACAGTAAAGCATCCTGAGACCATTCATGTGTGGGGTTGCTTCTCAGCCAAGGGAGTGGGCTCAATCACAATTTTGCCTAAGAACACAGCCATGAATAAAGAATGGTACCACCACATCATCCGAGAGCAACTTCTCCCAACCATCCAAGAACAGTTTGGTGACGAACAATGCCTTTTCCAGCATGATGGAGCACCTTGCCATAAGGCAAAAGTGATAACTAAGTGGCTTGGGGAACAAAACATTGAAATGTTGGGTCCATGACCAGGAAACTCCCCAGACCTTAATCCCATTGAGAACGTGGTCAATCCACAAGAGGCGGGTGGACAAACAAAAACCCACAAATTCTGACAAACTCCAAGCATTGATTATGCAAGAATGGGTTGCCATCAGTTAGGATGTGACAGCATGCCAGGGCGGATTCCAGAGGTCTTGAAAAAGAAGGGTCAACACTGCAAATATTGACTCTTTGCATAAACTTTATGTAATTGTCAATAAAAGCCTTTGACACTTATGGAATGCTTGTAATTATACTTCAGTATACCATAGTAACATCTGACAAATATATCTAAAAACACTGAAGCAGCAAACTTTGTGAAGACCAATACTTGTGTCATTCTCAAAACTTTTGAACACGACTGTACACACAACCTCATTAAACGTATCAATACACACACCACACACACTCATCTCTGACATCAATATAGACCCTGAACAAATTACCTTGAAAAGAGAGTATCTGGTCACACACAAACGCACTCATTCAGTTGTACACAAGTGACCAATGTGCACCTGTACGCAAGCTTATAAAGTCAACCATGGTGAGAAACACACACTCACACACACACACACACACACACACTGTGTACACTGTCTTCTAAAGTTTTTGCCAAAGAGCCAGGTAACCTTTTATGGTCTGTAACCTCTGCTTGAATGATATAATTAGCCACACTACCTTAAACTGAGTGTAGGTGTGTGTGTGTTCGTGTTCGTGTGTGTGTCTGAGTGTGTGTGTGGGTGGGTGAATGCTTCGGTGGGAGAAAGAGAGAGAAAGAAAGAAACAAACAAACAAAAGCTTTGTCCTGAACAGTTCTCTCCTTGTCGCCAGTGTTTCTCATAGATTTGAGACATATGGTGAAAACCTCCCATCGCCACTCTGAAGCCTTCAAAACAGGAAGCAGTTAGAAGCTGTGGTCAGTCACAAAGCTACTTCCTGTGGTGGGCTGGGGCATCACAGGAAGTACTGAACTGAAGAGCCAAGAAGAAGAAGAGAAGACATGAGACAAGGACTACGTCCCAAATGGCACCCTATTCCCTACGTAGTGCACTACTTTTGACCAGGGCCCATAGTAGGGGACAAACAAGACTGTAGACTGTTGTCAACTGCCGCATTGAAAACACAGAGTTGTGTTCTCTGAAGTGAAGTTGTTGGGAACCCTTGTGAATGTTTTTTATCACAAATGTATGCATCTACACTATATATACAAAAGTATGTGAACACCCCTTCAAATTAGTGGATTTGGCCATTTCAGCCACACCCGTTGCTGACAGGTGTATAAAATCGAGCACACAGCCATGCAATCTCCATACACAAACATTGACAGTAGAATGACCTTACTGAAGAGCTCAGTGACTTTCGACGTGGCACTGTCATAGGATTCCACCTTTCCATCAAGTAAGTTCATCAAATTTCTGCCCTGCTAGAGCTGCCCCAGTCAACTGTAAGTGCTGTATTTGTGAAGTGGAAACATCTAGGAGCAACAACGGCTCAGCCGCGAAGTGGTAGGCCACACAAGCTCACAGAACGGGACCGCCGAGTGCTGAAGCGCATAAAAATCCTCTGTCCTAGGTGGCAACACTCACTACAGAGTTCCAAACTTCCTCTGGAAACAATGTTAGCACAATAACTGTTCATCGGGAGCTTCATGAAATGGGCTTCCATGGCCTAGCAGCCGAACACAAGCCTAAGATCACCATGCGCAATGCCAAGCTTCGTCTGGAGTGGTGTAAAGCTCACCGCCATTGGACTCTGGAGCAGTGGAAACACGTATTCTGGAGTGATGAATCACGCTTCACCATCTGGCAGTCCAACGGACGAATCTGGGTTTGGCGGATGCCAGGAGAATGCTACCTGCCCAATGCATAGTGCCAACTGTAAAGTTTGGTGGAGGAGGAATAATGGTCTGGGGCTGTTTTTCATGGTTCGGGCTAGGCCCATCAGTTCCAGTGAAGGGAAATCTTAACACTACAGCATACAATTACATTCTAGACGATTCTGTGCTTCCAACTTTGTGGCAACAGTTTGGGGAAGACCCTTTCCTGTTTCAGCATGACAATGCCCCCATGCAAAGAGAGGTCCATATAGAAATGGTTTGTCGAGATCGGTGTGGAAGAACTTCGGTTGATTTGGGACGCCGACTTCGAGCCAGCTCTAATCGCCAAACATCAGTGCCCGATCTCACTAACGCTCTTGTGGCTGAATGGAAATAAGTCGCTGCAGCAATGTTCCAACATCTAGTGGAAAGCCTTCCCTGAAGAGTGGAGGCTGTTATAGCAGCAAAGGGGGGACCAACTCCATATTAATGCCCGTGATTTTGGAATGAGATGTTTATCGAGCAGGTGTCCACATACTTTTGGTTATGTAGTGTATATCAGGGGTGCGCTAACCCTTCGGCTTGAGGGCCACATCAGATTTCGAAATTCAACGGAGGGCCGCACATATTAATAATAATAATAATAATATTATGCCATTTAGCAGACGCTTTTATCCAAAGCGACTTACAGTCATGTGCGCATACATTTTTACGTATATTGTTTTTTGACCCATTTGTTTGTCAAAATCTCTTTGCGGGCCAGAAAACAGGGGCCGAAATTTGAAAATATATTAGGTCCATTATAATTTCTACATACTTTCTATTTAGTTTTAGACGTTCAAGTGTGGCCTGGTGTGTTTTTTAACCCGAAATAATCCCCCCCCCCCAAAAAAAAAAAGAAAGAACTTTGCTCAATGTGCTTCTGCATTGAACAGACAGGAGAGATTAATTTTACAGGATTATACGGGTGAATGAACAGATGAAGAGAGAGGGAGAGAGAAAGATGGAGAACAAGAGAAGGAAACGGTAGATAGGCCTTGATACGCAGAGAGAGGTTGAGGTTCTGAGGGGAAGTATGAGGAATAAACAGGGAGTATAGCTAAAATGAAAGGTTAATCTGTGATAGATAGAGGGAGAGAGGTATGTCGAAAGAGTGCGAGGAGCGAAATAGATGTGGGTGGATGGAGGTCGGAACAGAGAATCCTGTGTGTGCTAAATAAATACAAGCCTTTCCTGGAATGCATTAATAACCAAAGCTTTGGCACACAGATAGACCACAGACCCTTTATCAACCATTCTCTAACCTCTGACCTAATTCCAGAAGATAAAGCTGTGTGTGAAAGTGTGTGAGGGTGTGCTCCTGTGTGCGCTTGTGCTTGTGTGTGCATGCAGCAGGTAGTCTCTAGTCTATCTATGCTGTCACTTACCAACTTCATATGCAAACATGGTGTTCAAATCATGGCCTCTGAACATGAGTGTGTAATCAACACCCACCCAGAATGAGCATAATTACAGAACTCCAGTCAGCAGAATTAGAATGTTTTCAGAATACTGTAAAATCTCAGGATATAAAATGTACGTGAAAA